CCGTGCCGGAGCGCCAGTACATCCAGGCATCATGTGCTTGAGGTGGTGGTGGTGGTGGTGGTGGTGGTGGTGGTGGTGGTGGTGGTGGTGGTGGTGGTGGTGGTGGTGGTGGTGGTGGTGGTGGTGGTGGTTTAAACCCTAAACCCTAAACCCTAAGCCCTAAACCCTAGCCCCTAAACCCTAAACCCTAATCCCTAAACCCTTGCTCATCGTCTGCTTAGCTTCCGGCGATGCTTCAGCAGCAGGCTTTCCACCTCCTGGGGTCGGGTTTTGGGCTTGTTTTAACCTGCAGACCACCGTAACCCTTGACTCCCTATTATTACTATAGATCCCTATTATCTACTATAGAGCCCTATGATAGTACAACGGGCTTCCGGTTTAGGATGTAAAGTCGAAGGACGAGGGGTTAAGGGGTTTGACGGGCTCGGGTTTAGGATTTCAAGGGCTTGCCATTCAGGCTTCGGGGTTTAAAGTTCTGGGTTTAACTGGCTCTGGGCATTGAATTGTCAAGCCCTGTGGGTTTTCACTGTGTGGGGTTGTGGATACAGCGCTGATGCGTTTAGGATGTAAGCTTAAGGCTGCAGGTTTACGAGAATGATATAGAACTCCTTGTGGTCTGGAATTGAAGGGCCAGCATGATTAGTCGGCTGGGGCCTAGGGTTTTGGTGTGATTGATACTATAAATGCATCAGGAATCCCGAAGAAAGACCATTACACATTCTTCCGGCCGCTGCGGCAGTCTTCTGCGATGTTTGTGCTTGCTGCTCCCCGGCCATGGCTCGATAAAACGGCTCTCAGATGATGGAACCCTACATCCTAAACCCTTCTTGTACTGGCTTGGTCGGCTCAGGCCTGCACCCCAAGAAAGCAGAAGACCTAAACCTTAAACCGAAACACCCTCCGAAACTCAGGAAACCCAGCGACTCGAAATGGTCTCTACTTGCGACCTAAACCTCCAAGCCCTAAACCGGCTGCAGCATCTGGCTCAAAGCGGTTCGTGAAGAACCCCACGAAGCCATATCCAAACTAAGCTTCCCCTACATTCTAAGCCCCCAAATCCCGAACCGGAAAATTTCCCCATAAACCGCAAGTGCCTGTCCTTGGAATCGTGGCCGAAACCGCCGGAGGCCACCACCATCGCGGCACCGTGCACTTCCTAAGCCAAAAGGTCGATTTCTGGGGCTCACAGTGCCTCTAGATTTTTTCAAAAACGGGCCCTATAAAAAAGAAAAAAAGGTAGGGTTTAGGGTTTAGGGTTTAGGGTTTAGGGTTCAGCTTAAACCCTACACCCTAAGCCTTAAATGGTTTCCGACGAGATGCCACTTTCGTGCCGTTGGCTTCGACCTCGGCCACCCAGCCGCCAGACTGGTCTTGCCTGGCTTGGGTTCAGGGCCTCTTCTGGGGGTGGTGGCCTGATCGACAGGTTATATTATTAGGGGTTAGGGATTAGGGTTTAGGACTTAGGATTTAAGATTTAGGGTTTAGGGCGGCGTAGTATAGGGGCCTTAATAACTAGACTTGAGCTTTCGGGTGGATGATACGATATTTGTATGGGCGATAAGGGAAATAGTATTACTCATGATTCCAACCAACAGAGTCGGCTGCTTGCTTCGGACCCTTTATGGTCAAGGATACCTTCCTAAGTTCAGGTTGTTTTAGGTTGCGTTCAGGAACTTCACTCCGCAGCTTTCCCTGTGGCTACCCTTGCAGTAACCCTCACAGAACTGTCAAAAAAACAACTTCAACAGCAACCCTGCCTCCTGAGGCCAACCCACTTGGACTTCAGAAGCAGCCGGAAACGGCCGTTTCGCTCCGTGGCCATCTTCGTCAGCACCTTGAGTCTTGCTTCGTGGGCCCTTTTTGGGGGGCTTCTTTTTCCAGCAAATTCACTTGGACTTAGTCTTCACTGAAAGGCCAACTGCTTCTTGGGCTTTAGGGTTTGGGGTTTGGCTTCTGGCACTGGGACTGGCCATCCAATGGCGCTTGAAAGGATGTGAAGTTTGACGTGACACCGGGTCAGCAAGTGCGAAAACAAAGTGCTTTTTCAGTAAGCCATATCATAGCAGGGTCTTGTGAATTAGAATGGAGCGATAAGGATCCCTCTTTAGTTGTTAACGGGTATTCGTTTTTCGGGTCCGGGATATGGACTCTCTGTTAAACCTTAAACCCCAGACCCCTGACTATGAACCCCCAAACCCCAAAATCCCCCAACCTGAAACCCAGCGTCCCCAACAGATCCCCTTTGCAACTCTTATGGAGCTCTTATTGAAGCCCTGTGGAAACCAATATGGGTGGCTGTCAAAATTAGGGCCTCTTTTGGGGTACCCTAAATATTAGGTGCCGTATGATAATAAGGACCCAAAAAGGGATCCTAATATTGACAACCACTCATATGGCATCCCTGCGCACAGCTTTCACCCCATAGGCCCGCCCCCGCCTGCCCTGCTGCGAAGGTGAGCTCAGCACCGACGAAGGCATTGGACGGTCTCCGAGTAGTAGGTTAGGAGTAGGTCTGGGGTTTAGGGATTAGGTGGTTTCTAGATGGTGGCACAAGTTGCTCATTCATAAAGCATCGATTCTCAGTTGAAGCCCTTGTTGTGGACGTTGCAATTCTGGCTGTTGTTCCGGAGGGTTAGGGCAGGCGACTTCGGTGTAATTTAACCGGAATCACATCAACTCAGAGGCTGTCACCAGCAGGTGCAAGAGTTCAGTCCATATCTTTGACACGCTAAACTCCTATGACTCCTATGAAGAACCCAAATCCCAAAACCGTGCACTCTAAGAGCCCGGAAGCTCCCCTGCTGGCACCTCCCGTCTCAGAGCCTAAGTTACTAGCCCGTTTATGTTTTAAAACCCTCAACCCTACACCCTAGACCTTTCTGGGCCCCATTCAGGAACCCTGCAAGGACACCCCCACCCAAACCCCTCAAACCGCCCCCGACTGCTGATGCGAGTCTTTATTTAAAGGATACCCTGAACCCAAGCTCCGTTCTAGACTCTTTGTAGGAATCCCAAAAACAGAGCCCCTACGCCCCGTCGGCTCGACCTCAGCGTTCGCTTGGCGGTGTGCCCGCCCAGCTGCGAGCGCATGGAGAGGTCCACTTTGGTCCGGTCCCTGAACGAACAGTAGGGCTCCTTTCACGGGTTCTTTTCTTCGAAAAACTCCTTGAAGGGTTTTTAAAGGTTACTTGAAGGACTGTTAAAGGTTCCTCCAAGGGTGTTCTGAATTCCGGAAAGGGTTGTGGACTCCCTTTAAGCATTCTAGGAAACTCTTAAGGGGCTTGATAGGGGTTCTATGAGGCTTTTGTACAGGTTTGAGAAGGGCCATTTAAAATTTAGGGATTGTGCGGAGCCTGATGGCGATTTGAGCAAGGGTTTGTGGGGTCTGGAGCTTGGGGTTCCTTCAGATGTCTATATGAAGGTTTCAAAGCTCCGCTGAAGGGTCTTATAAGGTTTGCAAGGGACAACTCAAAAACCCTGAACCTTAAGCGCCTATGCAAAACCCAACCACACACCGTAAAGCCCAAACCCCGAAACCCTAAACCCTAAACCCCGAAACCCTAAACCCGAAACCCCAAGATCGACCAAGAAGCTTTTGGGACTAGAACTATTCATATATTAAGGAATATACCTTTAAATCTATGGAGCCCTTGGACGGGGCCTCAGCCACTGCACAGCCTCCGAGGACTCCTGCGCGAGGCGATCGATGAGATCCGGCCTCGCCAGCCTCGGAGCTTCAATTTTGCTGGGGGTTCTAGGGCTCTAGGGTTCTAGGGTTTAGGGTTTGGGGATTCGGGTTTACGGTTTAGGGTTTTGGGATTCGGGTTTAGGGTTTAGGGTGTCGGGTTGCAGGGGGTGTTGTACAGGAGCTTTCGTTAAGGTTTTGCGAGGTTTCTATGAGGCGCGTTTATAAAAGGATTGTTCGGCAAGGGTTTTAAAAGGGTGTTTTATCATAAGGGTTTATAAGTCTTCTACGGCGCTATGATGAAGGCTTTGCATAAAGGGTTTATAGGGTTCCTGCAAAGGTCTCATAGGATGATAGTAAAAGGGGTTTCAAAGCTTTGGAGGGTAAAGGGGAATTAGAATAAGGGTTTCGATTAGGTCTTACACGGTTTCTACGGGGGCTGGATTGCAGTTTTGTGGGAAACCCCTAAGCTCCGAAGCCCTAAACCCCTTAACCCCACACCCGAAACCCCTAAACTCCTCAATGCCTCCCTCAACTCTGGATCCCAATCCCTAAACCCCTACAAGGCCGGGCCACTTGCCGGCGCTCTTCGTGGTGTCTGCTACCAGGGACTCCACCGAGGTCTCAAGAGCGGCGTTGATGCCTCCGGCTTAGGGCTTGCAGGGCTTCGGGTTTCTAGTTCATGGTCGGGATAGGATTAAAAATTTACATGTTATTCCTTATTGGGTTAAGTACCCACAACAATGAAACTTGTTACCCAACTATGACAGAGGTTTGGAGTATGGCTTGTGATCAAGGTCGGTCTCGGCGGTTGGCGTCAGGGTTTTTATGGATTCGGGAGCTACTTTGCCTAGTCTCAAGCTTTAGGGCGAAGCTTGCCGCAGACATGTGACCCGGAATCTAGGAATGACATCCACCAAACCCTCAAACTCCCAAAAACTCTACGGCCTACTACATCCCTAAACGATAAACCCTAACGGCTTCGGAGTTGAGGTCTCGGGGGTTGTGGAAACCAGGAACAAGGCGATCTAGACTGGGAATACTGTAGCGGCCTTAATAATTAGAATAGGGTTCCTGTACAGGGCTCCTTTAAAAAGGGGTCTGTAGGGTTATTATGAGGGTACTATGATATAGGGGCCTTAATTTTTTGGAATAGGGTTTTGGGGTCCATTATGCTATAGTTATAGTAAGGAACCCCACAACAGTGCAGGTAATTATTAAGGCCCCTATTGTATTCAGAATCCCTGGCTCTGAAGATCCTTGACACTGCCTTGCATTTTGAGGCCCGCCCCTTCTTGTTCAAGTCTGTCGTGCTTCAGACATAATGCTGCAATCGCTCGTACTCTGCCGATCGCAGCTTTGTCCATTCAAACTGTGGCCCCTGGCCTCTCCGAGCCACTTGGCGCACCAGGCTTCCGTAGATCTCTTCGCTTGCGAGTTTTCCGAACTCACGGATCATGAGCCCAGTGAACACGACGTCTTCGGGGCAGTCAAGTAGCCACTCCAGCTTAGAATTCGTTTCGAAGTTTTGGTCCATGCGAAGATGGGCGGGCCAATGATTGCTCCCCAAAGATCCAGGCTTCACTATGAACGAGCTCGGACGGACGCGACACTCAAGCACAAGCTGTGCCCAGTGGTCGTGTTGAATTTCAAAAAACTCTGCATAGACTGGATGAGCAGCATACTCAATGGATGGACTGACATAAATACTGCAGCCGCTGCGGCTGTAAGCCTGACCGTGTGCGACACTGACCCCTTCGTCACCCGGCCTTCTGAGTCCACGAAGCATGATGGATGCGACATTCCAGCAACTCGTCCCATGATACGCTATGCACCAATCTGAATACTGTTCGAATTTGTCGATCGCAAGCGAGCATCTGCGCCATCCACACGGTTTGAAGTATGGGTGCCCTCCTCTTTCACCATAGTAGGCAGGATTGAACGAATACACTCGCGTGAACTGTGGATCAAAAAGTAGCTGACTCTTGATCTTCTCCATCAGCTGGTTGAAGTAGGAATCCTCATAATGCTCTTCGAGCACCTTCTCAAAGATTAACATGAGCCCTGTATGTGTACTTTGCAAAGTCGAGCTGTCAGTCAGAACTGATTTGACCTTTTCCTTTCGCGAGCTTCTGTTGTAGTAATACGACAAGACTTGCGCTAGGCTACTTCCCGCCTGCCAATAGCATTGCTCATGCTCAGTCTCAATGAAGTAGTCGCCGGCGTTGCCGAACGATATATACCTCAATGCTTTAACATCGGATTGCAGGCATGCCGATAATACAGGATGAGATGGCAAGCTCCATTTCCATGCATTGTTGTTCAACAGCACGCACCAACCGGTCGGTCGACCCAGCGCAAGATGCTTTATGTGAAGCGGATACTTCGTCACCAGGTCCTCCAAATCCGGCGGAAGGCCATGCCAAAACGGCTCGCCCTTCACCGGCTGAACGAAAAAAGACTGCTGCGGGCCGAACGCAACCCAGGACACCTGCATCCTGCCAGCAGTGTCCCTCGTGGCATTCACTGATTCAGCAAATTCATCGGACGTGTTGCCGAAAATGGTTGACCGGTCTCTGTCGGCGAAAATGGCGCACCATTCTCCATTTGGGCCTAAAGCAACTTGGTTCACCCCGCAAGCCAGCCTGTCAGCCTCATTGAGAAAGGCTTCTGGCATTCCGCTGTAATGCCAAAAGAACCCATCACGCTTGGGTTTGGGACCGAAGAGAAACCAAGCAGCCTCCTGTTCGCCAAAAGCCACGCATTTTGACCATGTCATGGCAGCCGCTGACACCTAAAGACCCAAAGAACACCCCCTGGACTCCACTGGTCCTAAGACCGAAGAATCCAAAACATGCCCTTACGAGTAATCGAGATCTCTTTCCCAGCAGTCACAGGCCTCAAACCCAAGACGAAACCCAGCATACTAACCTACCAACTCTCTGCCTCAAGCACGCAAGCACGAAGCGGTGCCGAGCTAAAGTTCAAAGCGCTCCAACTGGCTTGAGGCAAACCGAAATGCCATCCACCGGCCCCACCTCCAAACCATGCACCTATACACCTAAATTGCGAAAAACTCTTCATCTTGAATCGTGAACGCAAACCTGAACCCGAAAACCTCGAAACCCAAACCTCGTCAAATCAACCGCCACACACTAAACCCGGAAAACTTACGAATCCTGCATTTCGTAACCATCAAGGTAACCCTAAAAGCAACTCTGTCGTAACCATGACAGTTGCCCGCATAGCAACTAAAACCCTACACCCGAAAAAGCTGAACTTAAACCCTCAAAACCTGAAAGCAACCTAGAGTCCCTGCCTGAAGAGGCCTTGCCGGAGTTGCCGCCCAGGTAGGGCTGCCTCTGCTAGGTTTAGGGTTTAGGGTTTAGGGTTTAAGTTCGATGATTTTGCCGGCAAATGTGGGCCTCGGTGAGGTTCATGAACTCCGAGGGCCATTTAGCTGTTGGGAGTGGGTCCTCGCACTAAGGATCATATACGGCATCAAAGGCATCGCTGAGGTTGAAAATATGCCCATGGCCCTTCTTGGGGCTCCAGTGACAGGAAAATCGGGAAGCTAAGAGAAGCGGAGCGCCAGCCCCACAGCCCCAACACTCTGAAACTCAAAACCCTCAATCCATACACACCCTAAACACAACCCAGAGAGCATACACCCTACTTTAAAGGCCTGTACTCCCAAGATTTCAAATCCGTTGGGTTTAGAGGAGAACCCAACTTAAAAGCAATAAATAGCCAATAAAATGCAGATCCCAAAAGCTATCCCAAGAATTCTCGAGATGCTTCTCGATCATCACCACGCTGCCCCCGCGATCGAGCAGCGACATAGCCGCGGCCATCCTTCGCGGTTTTCAATAGAGGGGCCTTAATAATTAGAGTAGGGTTCCTTTGAAGGGGTCCTTCAAGGGTTACTTTAAGGGTACTGTAAGGGATCTATATAGTGGCCTTAATAACTAGAATAGGGTTACTATAAGGGATCTATAAGGGTACTGTGATGTAGGGGCCTGAATACCCCACACTAGTATTGGTAATTGCTTAGGCCCCTATAGCATGGGGGTTGAGAGTTTTGGGCTTTAGATTGTGGATTGGGTTTTCTGTGGTTCAGGTATATGGCAAGAATACTATCTTTATGGAACACGCGCAGAAATCCAGAAAGCCGCTTGAGGCAAGCCACCCTGCGAGGCCACCACCGACGATCACGGCATCCGCAGGGTTGGAGGCCTCACCGAGATTTGCCTGAACGCGGGGGACTGCCAGGGACTTCGGGTTAAGAGGGTCTAGGTTTCGGGTCCTAAGTGTAAGCTTGAGGGCTTAGGGACGTTGGGGCCGTCAGTGTTCAGGGTGTGGGATTTAGTCTTTGAGGTTTCGTGCAGGAGTTTGTAAAGTTTCCATACGCCTTCGTCGGGTGCCGTTGTCAAGCAGAGCCATAGCTGAGCTATGCCAGCAAGCACTTGCAACCCGAAGAAACTATATCGAAAGACTGACTACTCATTCAGGACTGCATTTGAAAGTTCAAGCAGCAAAGGTGGTCTAGTTCTTAGTGAGTAGGCTCAATGCTTCAGACTCTTGGGGCTTGCATTCTCAGAAATAACTAACATGGGGCGGTGTTTGTGATAACTTAGAAGGGGCCCCCACCCTGTAATAGTGACCATAAGGATTATATAGGATTATATTAGGGCCCTATTATATTCCTATTATACCACTATTACAGGGTGGGGGCAGCTTCTAAGTGATAACGCACTCTTCACTGTCTGTATGGTCTTGCTTTGCCTGGTAGTTTCCTGCATCTGTACAGGATGTCCAGTGATAGTTTCTTGCTTTCGTGTGGCCTGATTTTTAAGACCAACCAAGAATCCTCTAATCATAAAAACCTCTTTAGGGGGGCTTCAGGGTTTCAGGTTCAAAACCGAAAAGCCCAAAACACCCTGAACCCTAAGAGGGCTTTGGGGTTTTAGGGCTTCAGGTTGAGGGCTTCAGGGATCCTTCCCCGAACCCTCTAAATCTTAAACCCTAAACCTAAACCCTAAGTAGAAACCTAGACCCTAAACAATCAACAGAACCCGAAGCCCTACACCCTAAACCTAACTTTCCCCCAACCCTCCGGCACCTGTGGCCTCCCCTAAACTCTAAACCTCCGGCACCTTTGGTATCGGAGCAGGAGCCAGCGAAGGGGCTCCTGGGCGCGCCGCCTGCGCGGCCTTGATGGCCATCCTGGTCGCAAGGTTTAGGGGTTTAGGGGTTTAGGGTTTAGGGGTTTAGAGTTTTGGGTTTAGGGTCTGAGGGTTCAGAGGTCTAGGGTTTGGGGTTCAAGGTTTAGGGGTTTCCGGTTTGGGGTTTAAGGCTTTCAGGGTGTGGGGTTCAAGGTTAAGGTTCAAGGTTAGGAGTTCAGGGTTCAGGGTTGAAAGTGTCGAGGGTTGAGGTGTTCTGGCTTTTGGCATCAATGTGTTAGTTTTGCGTGGTTACTGGCTCCCTCTTGCTACTACAGATGCCATCACCACGATGTATACTCTCCATACTCCAAACTGCTATAGCATCATATTGTGTGTCATAGTCCATCAACTCGGCACATTGGCCCCTCTGCCCAGTGATTTTGACCCAGATCAAACTCGACCTGGACGACCCTAAGCCTTTACATGACAACCGCGGGTATGTGAAATCGAGAAAGAACTATGGCACCAACGCGCAAACCTCTCCACAAACTGCCTCTTCGTCTGTGTGGGGGGGGGGGGGGGAAAGCGCATTTGTGCATGTACATGTATGTCTGTATTTATGCATGTATGCTTGTATGCATGTATGAAAACATAGGTTTACTTATATGTCTGCATAAACATGTTGCATACATAGGATTACATAGGTTGCTGCGTGTTGTTCTATGCATCTGCATGTGTATGCGCCTATGTCTGTGGTAAGAACGTATAAATGCATGTAGTGTCTACATAAATAAATATATATATATATATACGATAACGTATAAGTATATACGTACATATGCACATATACATATACAGATGCATATACATAGGCAAAAATACATATTACTATACAGGTAGGTGCACCTTCACATGTCCATGTAGATACACGTACACATAGAGAAGTACATGTGCTTGAGTTGTGTGTGTGTGTGTGTGTACATGCGTGTATGTGCTTAGCCAACTATTAAAATTTAAACCTGATTCGTTCTCGATTATTAATGTAAATGCATATGCACACATTCCCATACACTTTCAGATGTGCCCCAAACCCCGGTCAGGCCTGCAGAAAACATCAGCCTTGTCTACCGCATAGTGCTTTGCCAGTAGCAGGATCTCCTCGCAGCCGGGGAACTTGCAGCCGTCGACAGCCCTCATCTACCTATCTATCTGCCTGTCAATGAATCTACCTGCCTGCCTATTTAAAACCTTGCTTTGCGAATACAAAAGGCAATGTTATGCTGTGCTATGTGGTGCTGAGCTATCCGAAGACAATGCTGAATCTATTTAATACTAGTGCTCGTGCTGATGGCATTGCAAATGCCAATGCCCATGCCGACGCTAATTCCATGCCATGCTATGTTATGCTATACTCTGGTGTGGCATCAAGCAATGTTTATGCTATGTTTTGCCATATGTTATGTATGTTGGTGAATGCGTGGCAAAACATAACATTGACTTTGCATTACGAGCAGCACCGCATAGAATAGCAGAATAGCATGGCCTAGCCTAGGGCAGCGCAGCGCGGCGTAGCAAGGCATAGCATAACACAACATAGCATAAAAGGACATAGAACGACATATAAGTTGACTTCAGCGTTACATAACGGAACAGAACGGAATTCAACATAACCCAACTTACCAGTGGATAGATAAGCCAGCAGATAGATGTAGGGCATGTACTTGCACTCACATACATGCAGACATACTTGCTTACATACTTGCTTTGTTACTTACGTACGTACTTGCCTGCTTACTAACATAATTACATGACATACATGACATGCGTTTGTATGGGGTTTCGGATCGCATGTCATGCAGGGCTTACGGTTTCGGGTTAAGGCGCTACAGGGCTTAGAAGTCGGGGATCGGCTCGAGGATGGAGGATCGCAGGAAGGGACAGAACTCATGCTCGGACTGGAACTAGATCTGGCTGACATGCCGGCACTGGCTGAGCTAGGCACATCCTAAACCCTAAGCAGGCCATAAACGCTACTCCATCAACCCATAAACATGGATTTACGGCCTGCGGGAACCATACTAAGAAGCCCCATGTTTCATTTAAGGAATATTCCTTAGGTCATACTAAGAACATGTTCTACGGAATATTCTCCAATATTCCTCCCAAAATAAGAACCCTAAACCCTAAACCCCAAACCCAGAATAAGAAATCGATGAGCTCTCTTTCCCTATGTGCAAAGGCCTCGCCGACTTGCCCTTGCGCGACGAGCAAGTCTAAGAGCCGCTCCTATCAGGAAGCAAACGTGGCACGTTTAAGGCTCCGGGTTTAGGGTTTAGGGTTTGGGGGTTTAGGGTTTGGGGTTTAGGGTTTAGGGTTTGAGATGCAAGGGGTTTAAGGTGCAAGGTTCAGGGTTTGGGCTTTCAGGGCTTTTGGGTTTAAGGGTGTAACGGTTAGCGCTCGAGTTTCACAAGGCAAAGGGGGGGAGGAGTTCTGAAGATCGGGTGCAATTTAGGGTCTTACAACGACAGAGTCTTGCAAAGCTTTAACAGCACTTAATGGGCCGGCATAGTTAGAATATGCTTTGAGAGACAGGATATGAAACTGACACTGCAGCGCCATGCATTAAACGACTAACAGGACTCTTATTTGGCTTTCATATGGCTCTATAATCGCATCATTTCACGGTCAAACGGGCTGTAATTTGGGCTTAGGCTTTGGCCTGTAGTGAGAAACTATCTCCCCCAATCCCTTAACCTGAAACCCTGAACTCCTGAACCATGCACGAAGCCCAAAGCCGTAAACCTAAACCCGAACCGTGACTAGACTCGCGCTCAACACCAGAAAACAAAACGTTAAAACACTGGAGACTTCCCCAAAATAGACACTCCAAAAAGGCAAACTACAAAGACCCTTCGAAAAAACGAGTCCAAATCCCAAAAACAATTACCGGAAACCGACTCGCGTGCCTCGTCCTCGGCACTGAGGCTGCAGCGCCGGGAGGCAGCCAAAGCGGCGTCCAGGAGCTGGCGCCTCTGTTGGGCGTAGGATTTGAGGGTTTAGGGTCAAGGTTTAGGGCTAGGGTTCAGGGTTTAGCTTGTAAGGGGCGGGGCTTAGGCTTGTGGTTATAAGGCTTTTGTGTCATTTTCGACTTTGGGTGTTAGGGTTTTGCTTCTTGCTTTGTAGGTGCCTCAGTAAACAGAGTCGGGTTTGGGGGTCTGTGTGCTACAAACATATCTTTTGGGAACCCTAGGAAGTTGCTGCTACCTACCAGGCAAGTCCTAGATTCTGGCTTGTGTAAAGAAGGGCCTTCGGACTATGGGGGTTAGAGGAGTTTCATGTGGCCGGGGGGGGCGGGGGGGGACCCTAAACCCTAAACCCTAAATACCTAAACCCTAAACCCTAAATACCTAAACCCTAAACCCTATAAACCTAGCTTGTCGGGCTTTGTAGTGGACTTGGTTTTCAGGTTAAAGTAAAAGCCAGAAAGTTGGAATATGATTATCCTAAACCCTTCTATGGTAAATTACAAGGTATCCTACCATGAAACCATATTCCAACTTTCTGGAGTTCCCTGTAAGGCTTCAGGGGGCCGAGGTTTGGGATCGTTGGCTCGGGGCTTAGCGATTGCTGCGTATTTGGGCTTTACTAGATCTAAGTTTTAGGTCGCAGGGGGCCTTTTTGGAAGGCTTGCTATGGTCTTTCTTCAGACTACATGAATTCCTAAAGAGGTAGGGCTAATATGGAGCGTCTAGGATTCAGAGGGCCGTAAGGCTTCGTCTTTAGGGCTGCGTCGTTTCAGGGTTGGGGGCCTTCAGGATGCTGAAGGTTGCTACAAGGCTTCAGGCGTGGTTTCAAGAAACGCCTCAGCAAGGACGAAGCCGAAGAACACGTTCGCAGAAAGTCTAAACTATCAACCCCTTAAAGCCTGAACACTAAGCCCTTAAACCCTAAACCCTTAAACCCTTTAACCCTAAAGCCTTAAACCCTGAACCCTTAAGCCTTAAACCTTGATTAGGGTCTAGGGTTTTGTGCGGCACTTGTAGGCTTATGGCACACTAAGTTCATGAGACTCCCAGGACTTGGGTTGGAAGGCTGCGTGTCCCATCACAACTCAAGGTCTCAGGACATGTTGCTCTAGCTATATGTGTGGGTACATATATACATACAAGTACGTTATATGCAGAGATCAAGCAACACAATACCTGAAGCTCAGAGCACTCCGAAAGTCGCACTCCCGTGCTCAGACCCCAAGAGGACCGAACCGCGCCTCGTGCCAATGCCCATCGGGGAGGAGTCGGCCTGCTGCTGGATCCAGGCTATACATTAGAAGGGGCCCTAAGCCGGCAATAGTGGTACAATAGGAATATAATAGGGCCCTCATATAATCCTGAGAGTCACTATTACAGGGTGGGGGCAGCTTCAAAGCTATTCGCCGTAGCCCAAGCCCGAAAACGCCTTCAAACTATCAAACTTGGAAGAAAAAGACTCCGGTTCTTCCTGATTAGAACCCAAACACCTAAACCCTGGAACTCTAGACGAAAACCCTGCATCCTAAACCCCAGGGCCCCAAACCTGACAATCCTCTCAAGAACACAAGAAGAGCCCTTCTCGAACCCTTCAAAGGAGGCCTCCTGCCGTTCCGGCCTCTCCTTAAGGAACCCATATCAAGCTACCATGATCGGGATTTCTAGTACGTAGTCTTAAGCTACCTGGTACAGACCCCGATCATGGTCAACCCTCGAGGTTCTTAGCCTGAATCTGAACCCAAAAAAACCCTAAACTGGAAGACCCCTCACCTCCATCGCAATCGCGTCCGCCCTCTGACCTCGGGAAGTGTGGGATCGATGTGGGACTGTGATGTCTGCAGCACTATTATAAAGGCCCCTATATTACATCTTCCCGGTTCGGGGTTTTTGACTTTCCTCGCTTAGGGTTGAACGAGGAAAGCCCATGATGTAGAGGCCTTAACAAGTAGAATAGGGTTTTGGGGTACAGTATATTATACTATATATATATATAAAGATATATGAATATATGTATATATTGTATGTATGTATGTATGTATATATATAACCATAGTAAGGAACCCTAAGGATAACATCGGTAACTAAGGGCCCTCACATATTATCCAGAAGCCAAACCCAGACGAGCTGCCAGCAGCAGGTGCCGGCGACGGCTGCGCAGGGGCCACTGAGCTCACCTGGTGTTGGGACACCCAAAAACACAAACCTCAACTAAACCTAAACCCTAAAGAGTGTACGGTGTAGGGCTTGGGGCCTAAACCCTGAACCCTAACCCCCTAAACCCAAAAACACAAACCTCAATAGCGACGGGGTCCTGGCTTTGGATTTCAGGTTTATTATCCATGAAGCTGTCGGGCTGGAACTTCGATTTTGCGAAGCGTTTTTTCCATGTGGCCAGTATTGTTCACGGGCATGGAAATGGTGGGCTTTTGGCTTTGCTCAGCAGCCACTACGATCGCCTTTCTGTTTGCGCGCATCATCATACGAATTGGCCGATCTAGAATCGTCTGCCGATCCCCCTAAACCCTACACTAAACTGCAGGGGCTAAGAGCCCAAAACCCTACACCCGACACCCCAAGCCATAAGCCCCAATCTGTTGGATCCACACGTGCAGTCTACCCCACATCTCAAGGAAGGGCCCAGGCAATAGATATATATATATATAGAGAGAGAGAGAGAGAGGGAGAGAGAGAGAGAGAGAGAGAGCGTCTCCTCTAGTATGGAGCCTGCAGACCAATGGCATCCATAAATCTTCCATCCTTGCTCCCACAGAGAGGCTCACAAGTGCAAGCGAATGATCCAAAACCGCTCAAATAATCACAAACTCCGCCCTCCCTGGTCCACAAAAAGCACCAGCACCAAACAAAAACAACCCGAGACTGCGAGCACTGTGAGGACCCTGGGCTCCACCCCGAACACTCGGCACTACGACACTACGCCTCGTCCTTATTGTCAGTCTTCGGGGGCAGAGAACCCTCTCCAAAGGAGAACCGTGCATGAGAGCCAGAGACTATACCCCGCACTTGAGGAATGGACCCTCAACATCCCCAGGCCCGTTCGAGGGATAGCGGATAGCGGTTCTCCAAGACCAAAAAACCCTTCAGGCTTTTCGGTTTTGGGGTATCTCTCTTCGCAACTGGCCTCGTAGTACTGCTGTGTCAGGCTCCGCACATCCTTTGCATGGGAGTGTGGGCTGTGGGGATGTGGATCTAAAGTCGGAGGTTTAGGGTAGTGCCGATACTTTCAAAAACCGTCAACTTGGGGATAGTATAGAAGCCTGAATAAATGCCAATCCCATTCCACAAGGCTTCTTATGAGAATTAGAGTTAGGGTATCATATGGCCACGAAGCGCTATTCTACTCCTTCAAGCTTCTATATTAAACTCTTAGGCTCAAGGTTGGGAGCTCAAGGTTGGAAGCCGCCTCCATTGCTTCGGAGAGCTTCCACAAGACGTTGACCTTGGACCAGACTCGGTCAAAGATCGGTGCATTACTTACACTGGGGGTATGGGGATTAGGGTTTAGGCTCTAGGGATTACGGTATAGGGTTTAGGGAGTAGGGTTTAGCGGGAAACCGCTTTTTTGCTGTGTCTTTGCAGGGTTTGGGGCGTACAGCACTTCTGTTGAGCTTCCAGAAAGACTTATGCTGGTTGTTGCCGACATTTGGTTAAGGCTGCTAAGTGCTTTAGGTTTGGGTATTTTGCTTGGGGCTTTCTGGGGGCTTACTGTTGCACAGAGTTGTGCAGCTATAAGGGGCCTCGGCGGCAGCTTAGGTTGGGTAATGTGTTCTTGATGTTTTATGCGGTTTGGGCCTACGGAACACAGTGTGCATAGTGAGGGTGAACCACCCAATCCGAAACCTGATGAATTTTGATACCCTAGCCCTTAAATCCACTCAACCCCCCCCCCCCAATCCAAACCCAGAAACAGAGCCTGGCTTTAGGCTTGTCGCTTGAAAGACACTGCGGATTGCACCGCCATCTACAGCATGAAAAGTGTTTCAAAACCCCGAAACTAAGATGCAAATCCTCCAGACTTTGAGCCCCACAGCACGCCAAAAAAAACTCAACGACAGCCCTAATCCCTTAACCCTAATCCCTAAACCCTAAACCCTAATCCCTGAACCCTAATACCTAAACCCCTCTCCCTAAAACCTAATCCCTAAACCCTGGACCCTAATCCCTGAACCCTGAACCCTAATCCGTAAACCCTAAAGCCTAATCCCTAAACCCTAAACCCTAATCCCTCAACCCAAAACCCTAAACCCTAATCCCTAAACCCTAGGCCAACCCCGAGTCTTAAGCCGCCCAGCGAGGGCCACCACGTCGTCCCGGGAGGTGGAACTAGCGATAAGGTCCGGCGGGCTCAGGAGGATCTTCAAAGCCTCCAGGCAGATCTCTCTCTCGGATGTCCCTCAAGAACCGCTCGTCTCTATGGGTTTAGGCGGTTTAGGGACTTAGGCCTGAGGGTTTAAGGATTCAGGGCTGAGGGTGTTGAGGTTTTTTTATGAATGGGATGATGGGCCTTTCCCCTCCGCAGACGCTTCTCCGATCCTCCCCCGTTGGGTTTAGGGTTTAGGGAGTCTTGCAAAGGATCCTCCCTCAACGGTGCCATCCCTGCATCTGCTTTAGGGGATACTCCTACGGCTGATGGACACAATCCTGCATTACCCATAAGAAGGAATATACCATAATTCCCACCATAGTTTAGGGTCCTTGGGGTAACGCGAGATTTTGTCAACAGTATTACGAGCAACAGCCAGCTCTTACGGATTCCGCCAGCGGCAAACGGGGCCCCTCTGAAGAGGGAGGTTTCCTCTAATGGGTGGTTGTCAAAATTAGTGTCCCTTTTTGGGTACCCTAAATAATCGGTGCCGTACTATAATAGGGACCCAAAAAGGAACCCTAGTTTTGACTAATGGAGGTGCAGCTGTTGCTCGCCTCGGCATGGTGATTGGCAAGAAGCTTTGTTGGGAAACATGAAGCTCTCTTTCTGCGGCAAGCTGCTTGGGAATTGCACATGGTAGGTTGCGGCAAGCCGTTGAGGAATTCCAACAGGCAGTGTGCCGTTTTGCAGCCAGCTACTGTGGCATTACGTCAGCATGGTGTTAACTGTTCCGAACCTTCAAGAACCTAAACCTTAAATCCCCAAAGCCGAACTGAAAGAACAAGAGGAACAACGCCAGTGCTACTATCGAGAAGACTAAACGGCAAGATTATGATAAGTCCATGTGGCTGTGCCCAGGCCCAATGAGAAGAGCTTCGCATGCAGCCGACAGCGTTGGCATTGAACACAATCCACGAGCTCCTGGGGAGAGTCGTGCAAGGATTGGTTGAAATGTCGAGCCAAAACAGACAAGTGCTCTGCAAGGAGTCTCTGATAGCATCGGGTCGTCGTCGTGGTCGTACCGGTAGCAGAGTAGTAGCAGCAGCAGCAGCAGCAGCAGCAGCAGCAGTATTATGGCAGTAGTAGAAGCAGTAGAAGCAGTAGTAGAAGTAGTAGAAGTAGTAGAAGAAGTAGAAGTAGTAGTAGTAGTAGTAGTAGTAGTAGTAGTAGTAGTAGTAGTAGTAGTAGTAGTAGTAGTAGTAGTAGTAGTAGTAGTACTAGTAGTACTAGTACTAGTAGTAGTAGTGGTGGTAGTAGTAGTAGTAGTAGCAGTAGTGGTAGCAGTAGTAGTAGTAGTAGTAGTAGTAGCAGTAGTAGTAGTAGTAGTAGTAGTAGTAGTAGTAGTAGTAGTAGTAGTAGTAGTAGTGGTAGTAGTAGTAGTAGCAGCAGCAGCAGAAGTAGTAGCAGCAGCAGCAACAGTAGTAGTCGTCGTCGTCGTAGTCGTAGTGGTAGTAGGTGGAGCAGCAGCAGCAGCAGCAGCGGTAATATGCTTCAACCACGGCATTGAAACAAAGATCAGCCGAGTCGCGGTGATGTTCCGGAAGACACTCCTCGAAACGGTGCAGCAAAACACAATCTCGAACCAATCGCTCGAGGCTTCGGGGCTGCAGCGTTTGCGGTTGTTTAGGGATTGATGTCCATTGTCGACCCTTCGTTATGTTCTGGCCACCAGAACGCGATCTACGCAGAAACTCCAGTGCTGCGTAGTCAAGGTTTGCATTGTGCGGATCCCTGCTTCAGGTTTGTATATGCTCCAGATTGAAAGGTTCTGGAGTTGTGAATAGGCACTGTAAACCCGAAAGCGACACCAAAACGAAGACTAGTGAAATCATAAAAAAGTCCCACACACAAACTCTAAACTCCCGTAATTTCACTTACCCTCCATCCTCGGATCTAAACACCGAAAGCCAACCCGACACACCGCCGCTACTGCCGCTCTGCTGCTGCTGCTGCTGCTGCTGGTGCGACGACTACGACAACAACAATGACCAGCTGCTTTTGCTACTACTACTCCTGCTACTACCACGACTTCCACGAATGCCATCACCACAAGTACGAATCCTTCGAAGCACAAGAGCAACCTCTCGCCCCTAAACCTTCGGCCATAAACCCTAAACCCTAATCCCTAATCCCTAAACCCTAATCCCTAAACCTTAGTCGCTAGACCCTAAACCCCAAACCCTAAACCCTAAGCTCTGGGCCGAGTTGCTTGAACTGCCGCTTCAGGGCGCCCCTCTGCTCCGACGGTGCATGAAAGAGCCGCGTCTCGTCGAAGGCCTGAAGGGATGGGATTTAGGGTTTCAAGGTTTTAGGGTTTTAGGGTTTAGGGTTTTAGGGTTTAGGGTTTTAGGGTTTTTGGGTTTTAGGTTTTAGGGTTTAGGGTTTTAGGGTTTACAGGGTTTAGGGTTTTAGGGCTGGAGGGGTCGACAAAGGGGCTCTGGTGCTTCTACTCTAATCTAGAAGGGATCCCTAGGGCTTCTGTAGGGGTTGATTGTTCCTACTCTACGACTTCTTGCTGGGCGTAGGGTGTAGCATGCCCGGAGAAAGATGTTCAGAGTTTTTGGAACAGGTTCTAGGGCTCAGGGGAAAGGTCGGGCTTGGGAAGTCCAGAGTTTACGAGGATAGGATTGGAGTTGTCAGTTGGAAACCTAACACCCTGAAGACGATCACCAAATCCCCACGACAAAAACCCTTTCGCAAGGAAAGGTCTGTCTCGCCTATGACTCACCCAACGCAGTGCCAAAAGCAAAGCCTTCACAGGCGTGCGCCACTTATAATCGTACAGACTGCAATCCCTCCGCATGATACAACCTCTTATAGAGCGCCCGAACATCCTGACAGACCCCAGCCCTGAAACCGTTCTCACTGCATCACCCGCTGATAGGCCCTAGATCCCGCAAACCCCTAAACCCTAACCCCTAAACCCTAAACCCCTAAACCCTAAATCCCAAACCCTAAACCCCGAAACCCTAACCTCAAACCAAACCCATGAACCCATTGAAGCTGCAATCCTAATCCCTAGCCCCGGCCATACACGCTCAAGCCTACAACCCGAACCCCTAAACTCTACATGCCATAAACCCCTCATAAATAACGACAAAACCTGATGGAACCGAGTAGAACCCCAATAGAAACCCCATGGCATCGCTTTACCACTTTTGGCACTTTTTTCGAGTACTCTTCAGGATTATGAGCCCCCAGATCTAGATTTCTTCCCTCAACAACGTGCCTCGAAGAGTGGTGAGCAGAGCGACAGTAGCTGGGAGTCGAGTAGTCGCGCCATCAGAAGCTGGCGCAAGGGAGCTTCGGATTGAGCGGCGGCTTTCTGCTGTTTAGGTTTCGGGTTGGTGGGTTTAGGGTTCATGGGTTTAGACGGTGTAGGGTTTCTGGATTTTGTAGGGGTTTAGCATAAGTCCGGGTGACGAAACCCTGGAAGGTTCAAGGAGACTGAAGGTAGGTAGAGAACAATTCTAGAACCCTCGTGGCACCCTTCTACAGAACCCTCGTTGAATCCTTAAACTTACCGTTGGTAAGTAGGGAATGGAAGAATGGTCGTAATAGTAGTTATAATTATACCCCATTCCTCCATTCCCTACTAACCAAAGGTAAGCTATAGGATTCTGAAGGCCCCTATATTATAGTACCCCTATAGATCCCTTTCAGTAACCCTTATAGACCCCTTTATAACCAAAGGTAAGATGAGCCCTTGAAGTCGCGAGCCCACCTTCGTCACGCCATCTTCCTTGTCGTCTCCAGTGTGGAAGGAGTAGCTTTGCAGATAGGGCGCTGCCTCTCCGCCATGGACGGAGCAAACTCCAACAGGGTTTTGGGAGGCTAGGAATTGGAGTATAGCATTTGGGGCATATTTTTTCAAGAACCGTGGGTTTAGGGCTCCAAACTCACGGCGTGGGGCTGCATCCCCAACTTGGCCGCGATCCGAACAGATGTGGGCAACTGCCGATGGCCAAACCGGCACGCAAGCAATAAACCCCCAAGCCCATAAACTACCCTAAACCCAAAACCCGAAACTCCAATCCCTTAAGGTCAAGTTGCCCTGAAGCGCGAAACCCGTGGGTTTAGGGCCGTTTAGGGAGCCCTCGACCTCCCTAAGCCCGGAACTTCGGGTTTAGGGATTCGGATTCCTTCTCTGTTGTACAGGGTTTGGCATGCGATACACTGCAAGGACCTGAATCATACCGAATAGGGAATGGGAGATACTAGGGAACCCTACGCAGGAGTCCCCCTAACCTCCAGACCCTAAACCCTGAACCCCGAACCCAACACCCTAAAGCCTAATCCCTAAACCCTGATCCCTCAACCCCTAAACCCTAAACCCTAATCCCTAAACCCTGAACCCCGAACCCTATTAAACCCTAAAGCCTAGACCCTGCCCCAAGCCCAGCTGACCTTCTTCACTGCCCGGAGGAGGACGACGAAGGAGAAGTGCAGGTTCCTTGTATCTAGTTCATGGTTGGGATAGGGGCTCTGGTGGGGAAGGGTTTGGGGTTTGGGTATAAGGTTTTAGGGTTTAGGTATAAGGGTTTAGGGTTTAGGTATAAGGGTTTGGGGTTTAGGTATAAGGGTTTAGGGTTTAGTGTTATTTAAATTCTATTCAATTATTGGGTTTAAGAACCTATAAAAGTGTAAAATGTTACCCAACTATGACAAAGGTATCTTGGGTGCTGCTTTAGGGGTCGAGGGCTCTCCGGCTTCGGGTTTAGAGGGAAGGGTTTCAAGTTTAGGGCTTGGGGTTTAGGGGCTTAGGGGCTTGAAGCTTAGGGCTTAGCGTTTAGGAGTTTAGGGCTTAGGGTTTGGGAGTTTAGGGCTTAGGGCTTAGGGTTTAGGGCTTTGGGTTTAGAGTTTGTGGTTTAGAGTTAAGGGTTTAGGGCTTAAGGTTTGGGTCTCGGGTTTGGGGTTGAGGGTTCGCGGTTTGATTGGGGTCCCCTAAACCCTAAACCCTAAACCGTTTAGAGCCGACTCTTGGGGGATGCTAGTCCTAACCGTTCCGGCCCGCATATGGGAGTTTCCGAAAATTAGGGGCACCTTATTTTCGGGTCCTTTTGATAAGGATCCTACTGTTTAGGGTGCTATAGTATCCCCCATTTTCGGAAACTCCCATGATAAAATCCATTTGTTTAGGGTACTATAGTAGGGTCGGCTATTTTCGGAAACTCCCATATTAAGATCCATTTGAAGCCGTTGAGCAAAGTCCTGCGGATGTTCAAATGCGTTAGCTATCGCGCAGAACCGATCCGGACAGGTCACCAAAGATTGTGTGGGATTACTTGGAAGCTGCCCCCACCCTGTAATAGTGACTACAAGGATTATATAGGATTATATTAGGGCCCCATTTTTTCCTATTATACCACTATTACAGGGTGGGGGGCAGCTTCTAAGGGATTACCCTAAATAGTAGGACCCTTATTATGAGGACCCCCAAAATGAGGTACCCCAAATTTTCGGAAACTTCCATGTAGCTTAAGGGATTTACGTCCAATGGCTGAGGGTTTACTCCAGTTATTGAAGCGGCGGTTTTGCAAAAGTACACGTACGACGACTCTTGGGTGCTTTAACCCTCCCCAATACAGGGGCCTTGACATATGCAGCAGGAGTTCTGGTTGCACAACAAATGCGTGTCCTTACAACCCCGGGGCCTAAAGAAATGCTAAATACCAAGACCCTGAACCTCAGCTCGCACCAAAGCCTTGAACCCTGAAAACGAGACTAGGGGAACCATCCCTCTGAATCCCCCAAGAAACCCTAAACCCGAAATTCGAGTCCTTCACCCCCCGCGCTATTCCGCAAACACTAAACCCTTAGCCGCAAGCCCTATGCCCTAAACCGTAAGCTCTGAGCCCTCTAAACCCTAAGCCCTAAGCCCTTAGCCCTAAACCGTAACCTTCCACCTCTGAGCCGACTTCCGACAGAGGCTCTTCACCCTCTCCGGGTGTTCGCCGATGTCCTTCATGAATCGCTCCTTGGGTCTAGGGTTTAGGGGTTTAGGGGCTTCAGGGGTTCAGGGGTGTAGGGGTTTAGGGGTCTAGGGCCTAGGGGTTCAGGGCTTAGGGGTTTTGGGGTTCAGGGGTTTTGGGTTAAGGGGTTTAGGGGTTTAGAGTTTAAGGTTTGAGGTTTAGGCGCAACATTAGTAAAGGGTCTCGGAGGTATAACGTATGATGATCATAAGGGAGTTACAAGGGAATGCTAGTCGTAATTATTCCGATTCTGGGTTTGGGGAGGTTTAGCGGTTCAGGAGTTCCCGGGGTTTCGAATTTAATTTGGGGGTTTGGGGTTTGGGGATTGGGGGGGTTCTAGAACAAGGTTTGGGGTGTGGGGTCAGTCGAGGCGTTCTTGGAGGCTGTAAGAAGCATAGCTTAAGCCCTCCAATACCCTAAGCCTCAATTCGAAGAGGCTTCCAGCTACAAGATCAAGGTAGGTGGGGTGGGGGCGACGACTCTATCATGAATATACCATCAGTATACTGTAAACTGCTATCATAAACTATACTATGCAAAATTTCTATTGGAGGGGCCTCGTACCTCAAAGATAGCGACCCTGTTCTCAGGGACTATATCCAGGGTCTAGGAAGGGTCGAGCATTGAGGGTGCAGGGTTTAGATCAAGGATTAGGGTCTGGGTTTAGAATTGAGCGTGTCAGGGTTTAGCACTAGGCGTTTCAGGCTTGGGATAGACCAAAGGTTTAGGGTCTAGGGCAGGGCGCTGGTTTTATGGGTCTCGGGGACAGGGTTAAAAGTAAGTATAGAGGTCTTAATAATTAGAATAAGGTTTTGGGGCCCTTTATACTAAAATGATAGTAAGGCACCCCCAAAATAGTACTGGGAATTTTATTGAGCCCCCTACATTAGCTCAGCCGAGAAACCAGATTCGGTGACCAAGCGCCTTTTTGCTTAGTTCCTCCGCTGGAGTGACTCTGCTCTGGGCCTATTGAACCCCTTGCTTAGATGTTAGGGTTTTATGGTTTCTAGTTCAATGTTGGGATAGGATTAAAAATATACATTTGTATTCTTTATTGGGTTTAAGTACCCATAAAAATCCAAAATGTTACCCAACTATGACAAAGGCTTTCTACTCAAAGTAGCCAACACACCGCCGCATGTTGCAAGTGTAGCATTGTTGCAAGGCTAACGGCTTGGGATATTTAAAAACCAAGGAAATCCCAATATACCCCTTAACTAAGGAATATACATTGAATCATAATATCAAGGCCTCTACAATTTAAGGTGTATTTTTATTTGGGGGGTATTGGGCTCTCCGGGTGAACTACTCCTGCAGTGTGTCTTACCTCGTGCTGGGCGCTTGGATCGCGCTTGCGGGGTCTCGAGGCTCCCGATTTCAGGGTTTAGGGAGGTTTAGGTTTTTTTTGGATGGGGGGGGGGGGTTTAGGGTTTAGGGCTTCGGGTTTAGGGTTTAGGGTTTCGGGTCTAGGGTTTCTGGGTGTTGGGGCATGAAGCTCCGCGGATGGGAGGACCGGGCATAGAGCTCCGAACAAACACCGCACCATAATATCGGCTCGAAGGCTTGGGGCTTAGAGTTTCGGGTTTAGGGGTTTAGGGCTTAGGGTTTAGGGTTTTAGGGTTTACAGTTTAGGGTTTAGGGTTTAGGGCTTAGGGTTTAGGGGTTTAGGGTTTACAGTTTCGGGTTTAGCGTGTCTTCCCGGGATACGATATTGATGTGGGAGGGATGACTTTTTGGCCTTAGATGTGATGAGCCTGAGGCCACCAGCATTTGCGCACTACCGCCTAAACCCTCTGGACCCTGGAAAGCCTCCCATCTACCAGAAACCCTATGCCAATTGAAACACCGTGCATACTTAAACCCCTTCCCCTACGCCCTAAACCCCTTAAAACCTTGCCTCCTAAGAACCTCACCACAACCCCTAAAACTGTGCCCTTCCGTTCATTTACCTGCCCCCGAGACCCCCCGCCCCCGAGGAGTCGATGTTAAACTCTTCGTTTTGGGGCTCAGCTGTCGATGTGGACGTTGGTTTGGCAGGCTTCACTGGGATTTGTGTTTTTATGGGGCCGGGAATCTGAAGTCGCATTGGGATTTGGGGTACCGGCCTCGAGGTGCAGGGCTTCGAGCTCAGGGTTCAGGGTTGAACTGACGGTTTGGGGTTCATGCCTGGGGTTAAGGGTTTGAGGTCTCATAGGGGCAGGTCTTCCGGATGGGCGCGCAAACATGGCAGGTCCTGGTGCATAGAAATTCTTCGAGATGGAGATAGAGGTGGATGCGTGCCAGCCGCTGAGCAGCCGATAGAGGACGCGCTCCTCGAGCAAGCATAAGGGCTTAGTCTGTAATTAGTCTGTAAGGCTATGGATGCAGAAAATCAAGCTCCAAAAAAACTAAAATCCAAATGTGTCTCTTCCATTCTATGTGCGCTCGCTCTTCCGCGAAACGGACATGTCACCGACGCGCGCTCTCCCCCCGACCGCTGTTGATGCTTACTGCGGTCATTAGATGCTCCTGATTTCTCATCGTTACCGGAGCTACTGTTCGGGTTGAGGGTTTAGGTTTTACGGGTTTAGGGTTGAGGGCTTAGGGCTAAGACTGGTACGACCTTTACCTTTCAGAAATATAGCTTCAGTTGACAAGGCTATTGATAACGCGGAGACAATGACTAAGCATACTGTTGCTGTAACGACCATGACTAAGCAGCAACAGTCAAGACGCCAACTTTTACAGCTGCTCATTGCGACTGCTGCTACTGCTGCTTGTGCTGCTGCTGGCGGCTGCCGCTCTTTCTACTCCTCCTTGCTGTTCGTACTACTCATACCAATGATGAAACGATAAATAATATATACTACAGGCTGAAGGACAACAGCACTGCCGCAAAACTCAACCCATCGTACTGCAAGGACGACTGCTACAACATACTGTCCGGCTCCGCACCAATCCATCTGCCGCCGGAACTCTGCAAAGAAAACCGGATGAAAGCTCTCAAGTTTGGGCCCTCAACGATCAAGGTGGCAAAGCTTTCCGCACAGAACTGCTCAGTGCAAATATTCTACAAGTGACTCATCACCGGGCTCACAATGCTGCCGCGTCCGTGTACCTGAAGGCCTCCACTGCAGAAGGACCAGCTTCCCCCGACGTCGACATTCCGAAGGCAACACGCAACAACAACTAGAAGGAGCATTCCAATCTCCCGGTGTTCTACGAGTATCCCACTGTCGCCCTCAACGATCAAGGTGGCAAGATTTCCGCACGTCTTTGTGCTCGGTAGAAATATTCAGCAGTTCTTTCATCATCGGACAGGCACACAGGCATGCACCGAAGTATGTCAGAAAGTAGCCGAGTGCACGCTGTCAAGTTTGGGCCCTCAACGATCAAGGTGGCAAAGCTTTCCGCACAGAACTGCTCAGTGCAAATATTCTACAAGTGACTCATCACCGGGCTTACCAATGCTGCCGCGTCCTTGTACCTGCAGGCCTCCACTGCAGAAGGACCAGCTTCCCCCGACGTCAACATTCCGAAGGCAACACACAACGAAAACTGGCAGGAGCATTCCAATCTCCCGGTGTTCTACGAGTATCCCACTGTCGCCCTCAACGATCAAGGTGGCAAGATTTCCGCACGTCTTTGTGCTCGGTAGAAATATTCAGCAGTTCTTTCATCATTGGACAGGCACGCAGGCATGCACCGAAGCATGTCAGAAAGTAGCCGAGTGCACGCTGTCAAGTTTGGGCCCTCAACGATCAAGGTGGCAAAGCTTTCCGCACAGAACTGCTCAGTGCAAATATTCTACAAGTGACTCATCACCGGGCTCACAATGCTGCCGCGTCCGCGTACATGTGGGCCTCCACTACAGGAGAAGGACCAGCTTCCCCCGACGTCAACATTCCGAAGGCAACACGCAACAACAACTAGATGGAGCATTTCAATCTCCCGGTGTTCTACGAGTATCCCACTGTCGCCCTCAACGATCAAGGTGGCAAGATTTCCGCACGTCTTTGTGCTCGGTAGAAATATTCAGCAGTTCTTTCATCATCGGACAGGCACACAGGCATGCACCGAAGTATGTCAGAAAGTAGCCGAGTGCACGCTGTCAAGTTTGGGCCCTCAACGATCAAGGTGGCAAAGCTTTCCGCACAGAACTGCTCAGTGCAAATATTCTACAAGTGACTCATCACCGGGGTTACCAATGCTGCCGCGTCCTTGTACCTGCAGGCCTCCACTGCAGAAGGACCAGCTTCCCCCGACGTCAACATTCCGAAAGCAACACACAACGAAAACTGGCAGGAGCATTCCAATGTCCCGGTGTTCTACGAGTATCCCACTGTCGCCCTCAACGATCAAGGTGGCAAGATTTCCGCACGTCTTTGTGCTCGGTAGAAATATTCAGCAGTACTTTCATCATTGGACAGGCACGCAGGCATGCACCGAAGTATGTCAGAAAGTAGCCGAGTGCACGCTGTCAAGTTTGGGCCCTCAACGATCAAGGTGGCAAAGCTTTCCGCACAGAACTGCTCAGTGCAAATATTCTACAAGTGATTCATCACCGGGCTCACAATGCTGCCGCGTCCTTGTACCTGCAGGCCTCCACTGCAGAAGGACCAGCTTCCCCCGATGTCAACATTCCGAAGGCAACACACAACAAGAACTGGCAGGAGCATTCCAATCTCCCGGTGTTCTACGAGTATCCCACGGTCGCCCTCAACGATCAAGGTGGCAAGATTTCCGCACGTCTTTGTGCTCGGTAGAAATATTCAGCAGTTCTTTCATCATTGGACAGGCACACAGGTATGCACCGAAGCATGTCAGAAAGTAGCCGACTGTTTTCTGTCAAGTCTGGGCCCTCAACGATCAAGGTGGCAAAGCTTTCCGCACAGAACTGCTCAGTGCAAATATTCTACAAGTGACTCATCACCGGGCTCACAACGTTGCCGCGTCCTTGTACCTGCAGGCCTCCACAGAAGGACCGGCTGCCCCCGACGTCAACATTCCGAAGGCAACACGCAACAACACCTAGATGGAGCATTCCAATCTCCCGGTGTTTTACGAGTATCCCACTGTCGCCCTCAACGATCAAGGTGGCAAGATTTCCGCACGTCTTTGTGCTCGGTAGAAATTTTCAGCAGTTCTTTCATCATCGGACAGGCACACAGGCATGTCAGAAAGTAGCCGAGTGCACGCTGGCAAGTCTGGGCCCTCAACGATCAAGGTGGCAAAGCTTTCCGCACAGAACTGCTCAGTGCAAATATTCTACAAGTGACTCATCACCGGGCTCACAATGCTGCCGCGTCCGTGTACCTGAAGGCCTCCACTGCAGAAGGACCAGCTTCCCCCGACGTCGACATTCCGAAGGCAACACGCAACAACAACTAGAAGGAGCATTCCAATCTCCCGGTGTTCTACGAGTATCCCACTGTCGCCCTCAACGATCAAGGTGGCAAGATTTCCGCACGTCTTTGTGCTCGGTAGAAATATTCAGCAGTTCTTTCATCATTGGACAGGCACACAGGCATGCACCGAAGTATGCCAGAAAGTAGCCGACTGTTCGCTGTCAAGTTTGGGCCCTCAACGATCAAGGTGGCAAAGCTTTCCGCACAGAACTGCTCAGTGCAAATATTCTACATGTGACTCATCACCGGGCTCACAATGCTGCCGCGTCCTTGTACCTGCAGGCCTCCACTGCAGAAGGACCGGCTGCCCCCGACGTCAACATTCCGAAGGCAACACACAACGAAAACTGGCAGGAGCATTCCAATCTCCCGGTGTTTTACGAGTATCCCACTGTCGCCCTCAACGATCAAGGTGGCAAGATTTCCGCACGTCTTTGTGCTCGGTAGAAATATTCAGCAGTTCTTTCATCATCGGACAGGCACACAGGTATGCACCGAAGCATGTCAGAAAGTAGCCGACTGTTTTCTGTCAAGTCTGGGCCCTCAACGATCAAGGTGGCAAAGCTTTCCGCACAGAACTGCTCAGTGCAAATATTCTACAAGTGACTCATCACCGGGCTCACAATGCTGCCGCGTCCTTGTACCTGCAGGCCTCCACTGCAGAAGGACCGGCTGTCCCCGACGTCAACATTCCGAAGGCAACACACAACGAAAACTGGCAGGAGCATTCCAATCTCCCGGTGTTCTACGAGTATCCCACTGTCGCCCTCAACGATCAAGGTGGCAAGATTTCCGCACGTCTTTGTGCTCGGTAGAAATATTCAGCGGTTCTTTCATCATCGGACAGGCACACAGGTATGCACCGAAGCATGTCAGAAAGTAGCCGACTGTTTTCTGTCAAGTCTGGGCCCTCAACGATCAAGGTGGCAAAGCTTTCCGCACAGAACTGCTCAGTGCAAATATTCTACAAGTGACTCATCACCGGGCTCACAATGCTACCGCGACCTTGTACCTGCAGGCCTCCACTACAAATGGACCGGCTGCGTGCGACTTCAAGATTCCAAAAGGCAGCAAAAAACAAGCAACTGTTCCGTCCATTGTTTTCGTTGGTTTACCGCAATTCTGGCCTTCGTTCATCAAGCTGGCTGACAAGATTTCTCCCCCCACGTACTCTCGCACAATCATGTCAGCAAGAAGCTGAATGGTTGCCGTCAAGCCCACACCATCCCACACCGTTTCAATCCTCAACCACCAACACGGCAAGCTTTCTGTACAGTACTACACAGACACAAGCTCGGTGCAGATCTTCTGCTGGCACGTCTTGCCAAACATGCTTCCTGTCGCACTTGTCATATGCATGCACAAGGTAATCAAAACTGGACCCTCAACTTCCGCGCCACGTGCCCGTCTCATGCTTATCGCGAGGATTCCGTGCCAAGGAGACCTTCCGGATGCGGCCCTCCATGATCGTGTCTTCAAAAATGCCCGAAACTCCTAAACTCGTAAACCCAGAAATCCTGAACCTCAACCGCAAAAACCAAGCCGGGCGGCCTCGTAGCACATCGCCTCCTTCGTCCCGAAGCGCCCACGAGGCATGGCACTACCGACTTCGAAGCAGTTCTCGTTGTACATCGCCTGGTGTCGCAAGGTTTGGGGTTTAGGGTTTAGGGCTTGGGGTTTAGAGCAGCGTCTACACCTGATTCCAAACCCAAAGCCCACTTAACCGTCGAATCTTAATCAAGAGCTGCGCGCGGATTGGGAAAGAGAGGCAGATGACAAGCCAAAGACCGCAGCTGACAACGGCCTACACCAGTCAAACTCCGGCCGTCAGGGCGTCGGCATTCGGGATTGGAACTGACTTGGGAGTTTCCGAAAATTAGGGGGGTACCCTATTTTAGGGTCGTCCCCTATTCTCGGAAACCCCCACTTCTTCAGGTTCTCCTCTCTGGAGCACGACTCAGGACACTTCACCGCCAAGCCAGCTTCTGGGTTAAATACCGAAACCTGAAACTCCAGCTGGCCTGCCAGATGTGAGAGCCATTGTACCCGGTGTTGCGCTCCGGGTTCTTGATCAAGTTCACATCCTCACAGGACGGAGGCTCCATGAAGCTGCTTTCAAGGCCGGAATAGCGGCTCAGAAAGTCTTTCTGCAGCCCTATGGGGCGGGATTCCATAAGGTTCTGGGCTCAACGTTGCAGAGCCGGAGAAGTGCCCAAAATAAGACTTTGGAGGTTTGAATGGTTGATGTTTAGGTGCCTTCGGGGGCCCTATTCTTAGTACAAAGTATGAACCCTGTACAGCCTGCAAAATCCTATCAACACCTCTTAGAACTGCAAGCCCCATAAACACTCTATAGTTAGTAAGCACCCTAGATTTAAAGCAAAACCCTCTAAAAACCCTAGAATGCCCTAGAAAACCCTAACAAGGGTTCTGTACTCCTTGGAGTATCAGCTGTGCATCGCCTGACTATATTGGGGGAAGCTCGAGACCCCCCCGCAAAACCCGGTAGCCGACCTAGTTCAACTGCATTAGGATTTCGGGTTTAGGGCTTAGGGTTCAGGGTTTAGGGTATAGGAGTTTGGGTTTAGGGTTTTATGGTTCAGGGTTTAGGGCTTAGGGCTTAGGGTTCAGGGTTTAGGGCTTAGGGTTCAGGGTTTGGGGCTTTATGGTTTAGGGTTTAGGGTTTATGACTTTCGGCCCGAACAAGAAGCACTTGTAGGGTCATCAGAAGCCTATCTGTGTACGTGTATGTGCTTATTTAGTCATGTAGTTGTGTATTTGTTTCTTTGCCTGTTTTCGTGTGTGCATCTACAGGTAGTTCCATGATTGCATTTGCCTGAACAGATAAGTTCTCCAAAATAAAGCCCTTGTAGGTCCCACTATAGTACGGCACCCTTAAAAATTCAGAGAACTACCTTAGGGCGCCCGAAAAGCAAAGAAGCAAAAATCAGGATAGGATATCCCATATAAATCCCCTTATACTGAAGCGCAAAAAGGTTGGGATATCCCCATAAAATGCTTATGTTTATGTGCTTTTAGGGTCCCTATACCTATGTACTCATGAATGACCTGGCGCCCGGGATTCTCTGAGAATCCCCTATGAAGGAAGCTTTTTAAGGACGTTAAGGGGTTTCGGATATCGGATGAATCCTGAACCCTAAACCTTATTCAGGGTTGGGTGTGCAGGGTTTAAGATTTCGGGAGTGAGGGTGGGGGGGTCTGGCAGCCGTCTTCTGGGATTCGAGTCATTCCTCTGCGGCTTTTTCTCTCCGCAAAAGAGACCAAAGTCGGCAAAACTGCAAACGCCGGATGATAACTTGGTTTCAGGTCTTGGACCATAAGCCATAGGCCATGAACCCCGCCATGAACCCTGAAGCAATGGAAAGTGTTAAAATGTTTAGGGTAGGATTGAGTTAGGGCTTTTTCAGGGTTGTAGGTTGGGTCTTTCGTGGTTTTGGAAGCCGAATAGGTCAGAAACCCCCGTCACAGCAGGTTGGGGTTCATGCTGCTCTCCCTAACTCCTTCCTGCTGACCATTGCCAGTGGCACAACGGCTTCTAGAGTTTCGAGGTTAGGGCTTCGATTTTGGGAATGTAGGCTCGCAAACCTACACCCAAGGACTATCCAAACAACAGGCCTTCCAACTCGCTGTCCGGGTTTTGGAGTCAAAAAAAACCCTCCCCCGTCTTCGTAACGTCGGAGTCTTGGGCTGTTCGTAGTCATTATCGCCTCAAGCGGGCCGTCTCTGATGACAAACTTACTTCACTCTGTAACGTAGAAGCTTGAACCATCGCCAACACCGTTCCTCAGGGCTTCAGGCTCCATAACCCACAACATCTCATCTCAGGAGAGGATTGCTGGAGGCCCGAAAAGTTTATGGATTCGGGTTTAGGGATTAGGGTTAGACTAGGGATCCATAAAAAAATACCACCGATTCTGGGAATACCCTACCTACCTTCATCCCAAACTTTCGAGGCCTGAGCGACTGAGGATTTCTCAAACGTTGAAACCCAAACCCTGGAAACCCAGAGCCGTCTACCCTACAAAGCCTTTTTAGTTAAAGTTAGCCCTACACCCTCAACCGTAAACCGTCAGAGTTCCAATCCATACCCTATACCCTAAACCATCTTTAGAAAGGACTAAACCCTAAACCCTAAACCCTAAACCCTAAACCCTAAACCCCTAAACCCTAAACCCTAAACCCTAAACCCTAAACCCTAAACCCCAAACCCCTAAACCCTAAACCCTAAACCCTAAACGCGAATGTAGGAACCTGAGTCGGAAACCCTAGCCCTATGACCCCCAAATACTCGGATTCATATGGGTGGTTGTCAAAATTAGGGTCCCTTTTTGGGGTCCCTAGTACAATACGGCACTTGTTATTTAGGGTACCCCAAAAAGGGATCACAATTTTGACAACCACCCATATAAGGAACCCTAATAGAGGCGCAGGGTCTCTTTATCCTACATTATCGCCATTTCTAACACCCGTATCTCGCCCGAGACCAGATCAAAACCCAAAAAGTTTCCCTGGAAGCCCAGACACCCCAAACCCTAAACCCAAAACCTTAAACCGAAAACCCCTAAACCCTAGGGTTTAGGGTTTAGGGTTAAACCCACAGGAAGGAGTGGTCGGTCCGCTGACCCTTGGGAGGACTCATGCTGGACATGTGCACGGCCCAAGCACCAAACTATAGACCGTATTAGGGTTTCGGGCACAGGGGTGTAGTTAATATAGGTGCCTTTTTGATAGTTAGAATAGGGTCTGGGGGCCCATTGCACTATAATTAGAATAAGGAAACCCCCAAAATAGTAGAGGTGCCTTATGTAGGCCCCTATATTTGGGTCAGGGCTTTAGGGCTCGGCCCCTGAACTCCTAGTGTAGGTTTCTACACCCTGAAGCTTCAACTATAAACCTGAAGAACGGCTTGGAACTCTTCTGGACGACTGCGTGGCATTGCAAATCTGAAAGGACTCAGGGATCCTTTAAGGGTTTAGGGTTTAGGGTTTAGGGTTTAGGGTTTAGGGTTCAAGGTTGTTGCAAGGGTTCAGGGCTTAAGGTTGAGGGCTTGCTGCCCAGACCCCTCCGAAACCTTTGTCTATACTGTCTACCATCATCAAAGGGTAAAAGGAGGGACCCCTAATAAGGACCCCTAGGTATATACCCATAATATAGCCATTATATACCCATTATATAGGGCAGGGGTCCCCATTAAGGGTCCCTCCTTTTCCCCTTTGACATCATGGGTTCGAGCTGAAGGGCTTAAGTCGCCGATGAGGCTTGTTGAGCAAGTTCCGCTAAGCCCAATGCGCCATACCAACCCTGCAGCCTACATCCTAACCTTCCTTCTTGCACGCTAAACCCTAAGCCGAAATCCGAAAGCTGAATTCAAAGAAAGTCTACTTTCGTAGTATTGCAACAACATTTACTGAAACCCTTATTCGATGCAGGTCGTGCACTACTAGCACCTCCATACTGCAAGAAGCCCTTTTTGCACAGAACCAATTCCTCAAAAACTGTCTTCAATTCCCGTCTTTCAAAACCCTGCTTTCCTCTTCAAAACAACAATTTCAATCCTATGAACACTTGTAAGGCCTGTATAGAACTTCGTTCCATAAAGTGTCGACCCTAACCAGCAAAGGCTAAGACCAAACTTGAGTTCCGTGCTTCGGACGTCCCCTTGAAATCACGTGGTCGGGATGACACCAGCGACTATTTCGCCCGATTTGAGGGCTCCTGCAAGAGTTCCATTGAGGGTTCCTGTCGGGGCTCCAGCAAGGAATTCTGTACGGGTTCAAGGCTTGGGGTTTGGCGATTGGTTTAGTCCGCTATCCGAGATGCCGCCGCCATCGGGTTTAGGTTCGACGGCTGGGGGTTTAGGGTTTCGAGATTTGGGTCAAGGGGGCTAAAGGTCTAAGAGTCTAGGGATTTGGGGTTTACATCTCGCATCCGTTGATGACACTGCTGCTGCTGCCATCGCCATTGATGCAAAAGATATGAAAGGCCCTCTCGGCAGCCGGGAAAAGGTAGCAGAAGAAGATCTGATCCGAGCAGTTCTGCACTGACCCATGCTGCCGCGTTCCGAAAAGTCTTACTATGCTTTACAGAGCCAGGTGAGTTCGAGAAGGAGATTGTCGCACATGGATTACGAGCCTCAAGAACCAGGAATACTCTTTCCTGCGTAGCTGCTTTACAACAGCTCTTAGGGTTTAGGGTTTAGGATTTTAGGGTTTAGGGTTTAGGGTTTCTTTCTCCAATAAACTGAAACCCTGGCCCTATGTTTGTCCAGATGACATCCGCCACTCATTCCCGCCCCGCACCTGGCTCTGTGCCACGGAAAATACACCAGATTGGCAAAACGGGGGTTGCTCTCCGTCAAAACCAAGATGTTGAAACTCGAGTCTTTAAAGTTTTGGGCTTGGGACTGTTTAGCACAACCCCCGAATCTGGATTTCCCACGTGTACTTTTTACGTACTGTAGGGGCTTCAATACTTCGAATAGGGTGTGAGTCAGGCCCCTACTTGCTTAAAATACCTTCGAGGCCGACTGTGTCCGACAACGCGCCTCATGCCCGGTAGGGAGTTTCCGAAAATAGGGCACCCCTAGTGTGTACCCTAAATAGTAGGGTACCCCTAATTTCGGAAACCCCCAGAACAGAAACAGTCCATTCCAATGAGACTTCGCCAGGCGCCCTGCAAGGCTTTTAGGGGCTTGGGGCTTTAGGGGATTAGGGGATTAAGGCGTAGGGTTTAGGGATTTTAGGGTAGAGGGTACAGAGTTTCAAGTTCAGTTTTTTTCGGGCCCCTTTTCGTCTGCATGAGGCATGGTCGTGCTGGAGCGGTTTAGGGTAGAGGGTGTAGCGTACGGGGTTTAGGGTTTGATTCAGGGACGGAACGAGAACCATGAAGCGCGCAGTCCCTTTGAGTAGCACGTTGAAATTGAGCCCATCTGCCTGCCTAAAGACGTCTTGAGGTCACCCTAAACCCTTGACCTTCACCACAGGAGAAGAGTCGGATCTCAGCAAGAGACTGACCAAAGTTTGCTTTATTCTGGGGATGCGCTGTGTAGTTTAGGGATCCACAT